CTCTGTGATGAGAAGCCTGCACTAGCTCCAAACTGCCCAGCAGGCCCAACGAGCAGGATTTCCTCGGGTGGGAGCACAGGTTGTGTGGAGAGAACCTGCGGATGATGATAGAAAGTTCCAGGTCAATTGCTGGGTCCACCATTCTGACGGAGAATCAGCTGGACATGTTCAGAGCCGCTGTTACTCTCACGTTTTACATCTGAGCTCAGCAGGCACTCGGGGGTCCCCTCTGATTTCTGCAAGGCTTTTGCCAAGTTTAAGCAACTGTAACACTAAACACACACACAGAGCTCAGAAGCCCAAGTTTGTGTCCTCCACAAGCCAACCACTTATCCTGGGGTGGTCTCCACACCACTCTCACGCCTGTCCGTTGGTCTTAACGGACAGAAATGTTACAAGAACAGCACAGGAACGCAGTTTCCTTGAGCCGTTTGCCAGGCAGCAGCCAACACCATGCTCCATGGCTTCGATACTTTAGTCTATTTCCACAGCAAGGACATGGGCCTCTAGAACCACAACACAACCACCAAAATCCGGAAAGTAACACAGGTACCTCATTACCGCGTGACTCTGGGACCCCACTCAAGTTTTACTAGCAAGTTTTCAGCTCTAAAATAAAGAACTTGCTATCACTAAAAGTTCCTCTAACATTCTAAGTGCCTGCCCCTGCCAGAGTCCTACCAAATGCCCACCCACTAACTCCTGACAGTCAGCTCAGTATATGTAGTAAAAACCATTGAGTCTGAGCTAAAGTCCCACCTCTGCCTCATACCTATGACTAGCAGTGTGTTTTGGGGAAGTCACTTAGCCACTCAAAAGTCAGTCCTTGCATGGATACGCCTCTAAGAATCCTGCGAATCCCACCCATAGGAACCACCCCCACCTCATCCAAAAGCATCAGCTCAAACCAGTGCAGTGCAAGTCAGCGGAGAGGTAGGGTCCTGGTCACTGCTGGGTTTCTCCCTGGCCTTAGGTATGGTCACACTGGGACAAGTGTTCAAGAAGCAAGCGGGGGCAGGTCACTTTCGGCTCCAGGTGCCTAAGGAAGTGGTTAGCAAAGGGCACATGTGCCTTGGAACAGAGGTGGTAGATGGAACTGTATCATTTTGTAGAACCCAAGTCAGCACCGGGACTTAGCCACTGAGAAGAATTATTAATCTTTGGGGTTTGGATGGGTTCCCACTGTTATCATGAAGTGGTCACAACAACTGTTCTTCAGTAGCCTAAAGGAAGAGCTTCGAAAAAGACCTCCCTGGGAGTAGCTTGCTCACGTCTAAAGACGAGGCGCAGTGCTCTGAGCATCTGGCCGCAGGGCCGTGTAAGTCAGCTCCTCCCGCTGAGCTGGAGGTGTGCGGTCAGAGCCCTGTGTCCGCCGGGCGCTGCCAGCAGGAACGGTTACCTACTGTCCTGGTCGCCTACGGGAAAGTCCTCTCTCACTATCCACCGCCCTAAGTTGAATGCGAGAGGAGATCCAGTATATAAAAATGTTTTGCCCATGTGCAAATAAGAGCTCATATCATTTTATTCAATCCAAAGTTATTACAGGAAAAGAAAGAACGGCATCCTTTCCTAACAGAGGGGTCTTATCGCCAAAGGTACTGCTTGCTCAGTCACTCTAACTCAGTATGACATGCAATTAAATTAAGTCACTGCCAGCTTCAACATGCCAAATGAGTACAAGAAAGGAGGAGAGGGCTTGACAGAGCTACGGTTATCTGCAACTACAGATATAAACACACGTTTATAACACGGTGACTTTGCAGGGGAGTCCGGCACTATTTTTCCAAGCCAGGCACCTGCCAGGGAAATCTTACCTTGGATTTAGGAATGAGGTAGATTTCCATAGCAATGCGAATTAAAATGCGATGCTACCATGAGGAGCTACCAGAAGCTCAACATACGCAGTGTCGTTTCGGATGCTGTTTTCATCCCTTCTAATATGCGGCAGAGAGAAATTCTGCGGATGGCATAATCGATCTAAAACATACTGTAATTCTGCCCTGCCAGTGTGACTCAGTGGTTGAGTGTCCACCGAGGAACCAAGAGGTCACCGGTTTGATTCTCAGTGAGGGCACACGCCTGGGTTGTGGGCTTGATCCCCAGTAGGGGGCGTGCAGGAGGCAGCCGATCCATGACGTTTCTCTCATCAGTGTTTCTGTCTCTCTATCCCTCTCCCTTCCTCTCTCTAAAAACCAATAAAAATACATTACAAAAATAAAATAAAGCATACTGTAATTCTGACAGCACTCGGCGACAGCATGTAAACAGAAGTCATGAGCACTTCAGCGCTTTTCCAGCAACAGAGCCCCGGGAGGCTGGAGGGGCTGTGGAAACTCTCCCCTTCCTCCCCCACAGCGATGCCACGTCCCGTCTGGCCGTGGAGAGAAAAGAAGTCTCTCCACCGTGGTGGTTCTTGCCAGGGTGCCTCCCTCCTGCTGGATACTATACTGCTCAGCAGGGCAGTGAGAAGCTCATGCTGAGGCAAGGCCTTTGTCCAACCAAAGCAGGGCTTTGGGGGAGCATGAAAGATACATCAGAACAAAAAGACACAAAACAAAGGGGCCACTGCTCTGCGGTGATGGGAACGCCGCCTTCAGACTGAGGATCAGTGACTGCTAACAGCATTTTATTTCTATGTTTACAATATATAACGCTCAACACAAATGTTCCCAGGGCCACGTGTGCCTGGTGGAGACTGAGCCTGGCCAAGAGCTGTCCCTCTACCCGAGAGCACCCTTCCCTCGGCGCGGCTCCCGGGGGCCGACGAGAGCCGCGGGAGAGAGCAGAGCAAAGCAAACTCGGCATCTATTTAAGGAAGAGCTTTCTAACAATCTGTTCTCCAAAAATGGAACTGGCTGACTTAGGAGGAGAAGTGTTGCAGCAGAGCTGGGTGGCCATCTGTCAGGGGCAGGCAGTGGGCCCAGCGCCCCGCACCCAGCACCCAGCACCCAGCACAGGGAGGGGCTGGGGGAGCCAGTCTCCTGTGCTCTGAGAGCTAGCAGTACAGGAGCTCACCGAACTGGTCACAGCTCATGAAAAAACGAAACACTGGGAAAAAGACGTGGTTAACAGTCTCCATCTGAGGCTTGTCGTCTCTTCTCCTAAGAATCAAAGGGGAACATGAGAAGGTGTTCAAGGGAGTTTCTCGGTAACTCAGAGGGCCGGCTTTGCCTTATTTTACTTCCCAGTGCTTCAGTCTGTTCTGGGCATTTCATTCTGCACTAAAATCTTGAGAGTATATTTTTAACAAGTGGATACGAAAGAAGACAAAACAAGTGAACAGTGTTTAGTACTCCAAAAAACTTAAAAAAGGCATTTGGGTGGGTGAAAAGCTGAAACTGGAAAACATAAATAAAATTAAGTTCAGGCACTCTTAGAGTATTATGTAGTCATGCTACCTACATTTTTTTACCACAGTTAATTAAGAGTTATAAGCATAGGACAACAATGTTTCTTTCCAATGCCCTGCTTGGAAAATGAAGATAAAGGGATGTCAGTTTAGTGGAAAAAGAATCAGACTGTTCATGAGAAATGGAATTTCTACATCAGGCTCAGAATCTCTGACAGCTGGCGAGCTGCATGCACAGGCCGGTGTGACTTCACTGCTCTCTCCAGGTCATGGGCATAACCTAATCCATCACACAAAAGCACTGCCCAATAACGAAGGCTTTACATGGTTTTGAAGAGTTAGACTCTTCAAGATTGCATAAAATAAAGACAAACNGCGAGATGCATGCACAGGCCAGTGTGACTTCACTGCTCTCTCCAGGTCATGGGCATAACCTAATCCATCACATAAAAGCACTGCCCAATAACGAAGGCTTTACATGGTTTTGAAGAGTTAGACTCTTCAAGATTGCATAAAATAAAGACAAACATTTTGCAACACCCACTATATTCAGTGCATAATGTTCAGTTTTCCCACCTGTCACCCTTTCCCCTAAATTAAAAAACAATCCCCTTGTTGGAGATAAAAAGGAAAAACTGAAGTAAACAACATGGGTTGTAATAGTGACTTATTTCAAAGCAAACTCTGAAGTGATGACCAGTAGCCTCAAATACNCTCCCCTAAATTAAAAAAAAAATCCCCTTGTTGGAGATAAAAAGGAAAAACTGAAGTAAACAACATGGGTTGTAATAGTGACTTATTTCAAAGCAAACTCTGAAGTGATGACCAGTAGCCTCAAATACAACCACACGATGTTCACACAAGGAGGCAACAGTAACGTCTTTAAATGGCAGGTCAGCTGAGTTATTCTTCAGAAAGGCCCTCAAAGTGTTTTTCTCACAAAATCTGAAGCAGTAACTACTGCAAGCAAGTCTGATATGCACACGAAACACCAAGGCAAGGTTGGCCACCATAAACTTCAGGTGACTCAAGGTGGTCTCCCCCATCTCCCTGAACTGGAGAAGAGAAAGGGTGTGGGAAGAGAGCTGGCCAACGCCACCAGAGCTGAGCTCCAAGCCGTCCCCACCTGGCGACCCCCAGATGGCCTCGGACATCACACCGGGGCTCGCCCAGCTGCCCACGTAGCTACCACTGTCGGGACTGGCGTGACATCCACCCGTGCCAAGGTGCTCCTCACTACCTCCTCTGTGCAGGGGCCGAGTGGACAGGGTTTGGTAAAAGGTCGGAGGGAACCACTCAGGCAGGGCTGGTGATGTCTCTGGAGCTGGAGACGGCACCCCAGTTCCCCTCGCAGGCTGAGCCAGGACAGAGCGGAAGGGGCAGGGGCCACGTCAGCTCACATCAGACTCCACGCTCTAACCTCCAGGAAACAACAAACATCCTACCTCTCCATCGTGGGCTCTTTAATTTTCAGAGATTGGAAAAAAAAAAAAAAAAGGCAACCAGAATGATGTCAATATTTAAAACAGACTCTTATTTTTTTAAAACAAACTGAAAACGTGAACGCTCCCCACGAGCACCCGGGGCCGCCTCGCTCTCCACGCGGGGAGCGGCCCGCGTGTGGCCCGGGGCCTGTGCGGCGAACACTCACCCAGCGTGTCCTTCAGGTTCCGGACCAGGGAGCCCTTCTTCAGGCTGTTCTTCCTCTCCACGTAGTTGGACGGCACGTAGCCCGTCCTGTTGGCGGCGTTGCGCACCCGCCACCACGTCTTGGAGTCGTCCAGCAGCCACAGACGCTCGTTTTTCTTGATGTCCAGCTCCTGGTCCTGCTGGGCCGTGTAGTCCCACTTGGCTATCACGATGACTTCCTCTGTCATCTTTCATGGAGTCCTCCTGCCGGCAAAACACCCGGAGACGAGACGCTTTAGAGAACCAACCGGACGCTTCGCCCTCTGCATCAACTTGAGCCGCTACACAACTGACAGCTTTTGCTACCACTTGGCAACCGGAGCCCTCCTGGGTCTTGAAACACTCAACCCTAAGGTGACCTTCCGTCCGTAAGCACCAGTGTTCTGTTTAGAACCGGCGCCCTTATAAGACAGATCTTCACTTTGTACACTGGGCCTTCTACACGCTCTGCCAAAGCCAAAAGCAAGCTCCCCCAAATTCCAAGCAACGGGACCGTAATGAAACGCGGTCACCCGATGAAGCAGCACCGGCTCCTTACAGCTCATGTTTACATCCACTTTCTCAGCATATGCTAAATTTTATGAACAGAATAAAAAACACACATCCGAACTCTTCCTATAAATGAAAATGAAAGGTAGTACTAATGCAACGTGGTGCCTGCACTGGATCCTGAAACAGAAAATGAGGGAAACGCTGGTGAAACCCAAACCAAGCCTAGTGCGCGGCGATATGCCATGTCAATCTCTTCGTTTTGACAAGTGTGCCTGGTTGCAGATGTCAGTACTGGGGGAAACTGGGGGAAGGGCACAGGCATACAGGAATGCCTCCTCCTACCTTTGCATAAAACATAAAATTATTCCTGAAGCCTGCACTGGGTGTTTGTAGCAGCACTGTTCATAATTGCCAAAATTTGGAAGCAACCAAGGTGCCCTTCAGTAGGTGAATGGATAAACAAACTGTGGTCCATCCAGGTAATGGAATATTACTCAGTGATAAAAAGAAATGAGCGACCAAGCCACGGAAACACATGGAGAGAGCTTCATTGCGTAAAACTAGGCGAAAGAACCAATCTGAAAAAACCAATCTGATTCTCGCAGGCTCTCTTTTACCGAACTTCAGTCAGGCTCCTCTGAAGCCTTTCTAAACCAGCCTCAACTTCTGTACTTCTATATCCGTCCTGCGTTGCTCAATTTTAACAAGAATCACGCTACGCAGCTTCAGCCGGAAGCCTCCACTCTCACCCGGTGCAGCCTGACCGCCTGGCCGGCCTTCGGGAAGGGCCCTGGCAGGTCAGTTTAGACAGAATGCCCCCTTTAATGTCTCCTCCTGGGAGCCGTCTGTTTCCCTCCCCCCGACGGGCTCCTGGGCTGCAGACTCCCCACTTCTCCTTCCTGCGTTTGGAGTTGAACCCAGTCTCTCTCCCCTACTGCCAAAGTCCCATGTAGCAGCCTATGAATAGCCTGCCCTACGGTGCTTCATAAGTGCCAAGACTAACTTTTTCTTTAACTATTCCAACTATAGGCATTCTGTGGTTTCCAGGGGCATGGGGGGGGTGTTAACTGGCAGAGCCCAGAGACCTTAGGTCAGTGAGTGACTTTATAGTGGGCACAGGTCATCATACATTCGTCAAGACCCATAAAGGACACAATACCAAGAGTGAGCTGTAATATACACTTGTTCCAAAATAAAAAGTGTATTAACATCAACAAATAAATACAGCATACCCTATCCAGTGCAGGCAATTCTGGAAGCAGTGGGTAGCAAAGTGTACCTGAATGACCCAGGTCAGTGTAACGGCCAACTGTGGCAGTGGCTCCACACTTCTCAGGTAGAATATGGGCCAGTATTTTTCAGCAAGAAAATTCAATATTCAGTCCTTCAACTAACTGACTGGACGTTTCCTCAAAACTAGTAAGAAAGAAACAATGGAAAGACCACTAACTAAAACCCCCTTCCTCTCTGACACAAAGGAGTTCCCATTATTTTATAGGGAGGCAACCTCTGCACTTGGATGCCATGGAGGCGTGAATACCGTATGTTTAAAAAACATGACACTTTCTACTAGATGCTGAAGAAGTTTATAAGTAATGCGTGTTCTCTTTCATAAGTTAAATTCAAGATTTAGAGATAATTAACCTTTTGGGAAGGAGGCAATGTTTAATAAAGCTTGTGTATAATGTATACAACCAACAGGAGAGTTTACACACAGCTCATCAAATCCATACCGCAGGTCTCTCTACCCTGACTGGGCTTCCTGTCAGGTTAGATTCTGAAAGTCATAAAGGCAGGTTTTCTTTTTGTTGTTGTTGTTTTTAAATAATAATGAGAGCAGTAATAGGAATGAGACTCAAGAGAACATCCCATTTGAATCCTGGGTTTGTTTCTTTTTTTAAAAAAATATTTTTTTATTGATTCCAGAAAGAGAGGAAGGGAGAGGGAGAGAGAGAGAGNCATATTTTTTTATTGATTCCAGAAAGAGAGGAAGGGAGAGAGAGAGAGAGAGAGAAACATCAATGATGAGAGAGTCATTGATCGGCTGCCTCCCGCACGTCCCCTGCTGGGGATCGAGCCCACAACCCCGGCATGTGCCCTGACCGGGAATCAAACCATGATCTCCTGGATCATAGGTCAATACTCAACTGCTCAGCCACGCTGGCCAGGCTTGGGTTTGTTTCTTAATTCTACAATTTTCAGGAGAGTTTTTTATAAGAACAGCACATCACTTAAGACCAATCAAAGCAATATATTGATTTTCTGCATGGCTGCAGGTAAGGAGCTGGCCGGCGTGGCCTATCTCAATGCACATGAACATCACACGGGAGCTGAAGAACACCCGTGCCTGGGCTCCCCCAGATCAGCTAGCAGCATCTCCAGGAGTGAGGCCTGCACATCAGACTTTACAGCTCGTGATCCTGATGGCCCAAGAAGGGAAAAACCGAGTCAGACGGCTCTGAGACCTGTGGACAGGAATGAACACTCCAGCGTTCAGCTCAGGAAAGTAAATGCTGAGTGTATGCCAGGTGCCTGACACACATGAGCTCATTTAATCAACACAACTCCCTGTTTCAGGGAGGGGTGTTACCTTTAGGAGGCTGAGGGTCACAGAGAGTTAAGTGACTTGAGCCCAGGTCTGTGACTCCCATCTGTGCTCATGTGCTCACTACGGGGGTGGGGATGGGGGTTAGCGGGTTGGTGGGGTCTGATGCATGGCCTATGATTTGATAGACTTATTCCAACCCAGGAAATCAACGATTCTAGATCAGGTGAAAATAAAACGTTCCTAGAAAAGGCTGGCTGCTCCTTAGCCACAGCAATGGGTTTAAACTTAAATTGATGTATGACAGCTTCCCATCAAAATAAACGCTGCCAGGGCCAGCCAATCAACAACCACTTCACTCCAGTGAAGCTAGCCAATCAATAAGTGCTTCACCCCAGTACTACAGAAGGCTACCAATCAACAGCTATCGCACCCCATAAAGTCCACGAGCAACAACCGTCTCACGCCAGCATTTCAGACGGTCAGCCAGTCACAGCAACTCCACTGGAGTAAGCACCGCACACGCGGAAGGTCAACCAATCTATGAACACTCCGCTTCCAAAACTCAACTAATACCTGATCCCGTATTTCCCCAAAACGGTCATCGAAGGAGCTCTCTGCACAGGAGACTGACCGGAAGCGCACACCCCTGAGCCGACCAGCAGCACGGCCAGCGTCTGCGGGAACAGAGCTGTGGCCAAGGACAGCTGCCCCCAGGCTCCTGCTGCAGAGCCCAGGCCGCTGCCCTCAGGGACCCTGGAAATGTGGGGAAGAAGAGCGCCCACGTGGGAAGGGAGCAAATGCAGGGCGATGGACAGAGGGGATGCTGAGAGCTGCTGGTAAATGGCAGGGAGCTGGGACAAAGGATGGTTTTTGGGGAAGGGCGCAAGGAAAAGGAAACCAATTTCAGTCTTAATGAAGGAACAGTCACGGAGGGGACTCCAGGCCAAAGAGGTATAAGCGAGAAACGGGTGGGAAGAAGTCACTCACTAAGCAGAAGAATTAAGAATGCAGGACTCCAGGGAGTCACTTAAAGTAAATCGTAAACGGTGTATTTCTGGATGTTTTCCTCTTTAGTCATTTCAATGTGAAGCAAAGCACCCTCCCTTCGCCCACTCCAGCCCCGTGTTCCTGCCCACAGGGCTGGAAAGGCAGCTGGAGGCCACTCTGGAGGGAGCCGTGTGTCGCAAGAGTGCAGATTCCACCCGAGACCCTGGGAACTTCTTTCTAGGACCCTACTTCCTTTCTACAAACAATCCTGTTAACTGCATCTTGCTGGGTTATGGCTGGGTTACATACTCCTCATAATATCCTGTGTTCCTACCACATCCAAAATTGGTCACAGATGTGTCCACAGCGGTCTCGGTCTTGGTCTCGGGGATCACGCTGAAACCACTTGGTCATTGTGGCAAATAGAGGACATGAGTCAAGAACCTGGGATTCTAAGGTCCACTGGACCACCCGTGTGTTCACCCCGGCCTCCAGCCTGCCCTGTGAGACGTGACTAACCACTGCCTCGCCTCCCAGGTGCTCAGGAGACGTGTGTGATGTAATGTTTAAGAGAGCGGGGATCAGTGTCACCCAGACACGCCGGAGTCCTGCTACGTGGCCTCGGCCCAGCTGCCTCCTCCACAACAGGGGTGACAGCACCTCACTAGGAGCTGTGAAGAGGCCCTGCACGCGCGGCCCAGCACAGACGGACACAGGGCGGGAACCGGGCACTCCCGAAGCCCTCGCACACTGCAGCACACGTTATAATGTAAGCGGGCTGTATTCCTGCGACTCCTTCCTCCCCCGGTCAGGACTCACTAAGCACCTACTGCGCAGCAGGCAGGCGGTCCTCCAAGGCAACAGGGCCCCTGGTGCGCAGGATGGACCAGGTGTGCGCTCCCCTGTGACTCAAGCCCTGGGCGAAGGAGCAGCTCCTCGGAGACACTGGGTCTGTGGCAAGTTGCTACAGCAGCCACAGGAAACCAAGGAGTGAGGAATTATGCCAAGGCCAGTCCAGAAAGGGACTATGTCCTATGCTTCCCCCATTTATTACAAGGTTTTCCCCTTTTGCTGTTTATTTGCAAATATTTAAAAACAGTGCATTCGCATGAGGAGACCTCACAGAAGCAGTCTCAGAAGCAACTAAACTACCTTATAAATTCTTTATCAGAGACTT